GCGTAAACGGATTCGTTCATTACGCGCTTGTAAACCGGCCACAGCACGTGACCTGACGCGACGAGACGTTCCACATCGCATAGTAATAATAAACTACACATCGGACCACCGACTACCTCAGAAGCCGTTCATCAGCTATCGATTCTTTAAAGCAAAAAGCGAACGAAAAAACCTCACCTGCTCGCCGGAATATAAAAACGTTATTAAATAGGAGGCGACCTAACTAAATTACAAAATTCAACCTTTACGCATTATAGAATAATTTACCATTGAATGTTGCACGCGATTATAAATCGTACGACAAAGATGACAAGCGTCATAATCGAGGGACGCGACGTGATTTATTATAAGCGAGCGAGATCGATCGACGGCATCTTAGGTAGCGTTGCAATGCTTTATTTTATCTCATAAATAGATTTTTTATAACAAATTACAGGGTACCACGTTTGGTAGCGATTTTGGAGCCGCGTGCGCTCCGCCGCACACCGGCGCGCCGCGCCACGCACTGCGCGACCGCCATCTGAGCTCTAATTACTGACAAATAGAGTTTAATTTTCATTAATGCATCAAACGAATGTATTGATTATGAATTTAGTTGGTTCCGTTCATATATTTTACGGTCAGGTAGCTAAGGTATCTCAGGACGAACGGTATTTTGACACACGCTTTCACTGAATAAAAAAAACTGAAAAGTCCTCCACATCTCCAAGTCCTGAGAAGTTTAGACCACAAAAGGACTTAGAAAAAGGCATTTATTCAATTACAGCGACAATGCAGTGTTTCGCCTGAAAGTGCACAAAGGGCTCTATGATAAAGGAAGGCAGGTAAACCTTTATGAATAGAGAACGACAATTGCTTTCGGACAAAGATTTTAGGGCGAGTCAAAAGTTACGCTCGAGATGGTCGCTCGGTTTACGACCGCCTCGAGTCGGATAATAACATCTGCTTTCTTTTCATTTATTGTGACTTTAATGTATCTATAGAATTGTCCTATGCCATGGAAATAATTAACAAAGCCGAGACGGTAATTATATAGAATAGACAATAATGGAACTATAAAATATCGTGTGAAGTGTTTTTGCTCCAGATTTTACACGAAAAGCACTTAACTCTTTACCAATAAAAACAAACGTTTATTTACAAAAGTAAACAGAACATTTTCAAAGGATTTTAATGCTTTCATATAACCATAAATCAACAGAAAATTGACAGTAAAATAATTATCTGCTTACAAAGGATTAAAAAAAAATTACTAGTCTATGTTCTTACAGACTGTGGTCTATATCTATGTCAAAGTTCTAGAGATACCTTCTAACATCCATCCATATATCAAAATTTTTCATTGATTCACAATACGAGTAAATGTGTGCTTATTATATTTTTTCATTTAATAATTCTTAATTCATAGTCGATTCAATAACTAAGTATAGTATTCAAAACATCTAATTTGTGAAGTCAACCAAAACAAAACCAACAGTGGGTAGCGTAGTTGACTACGGCCTAGTCACCCTAACTCAGGGCAGGCTTCAAGACACTCAGTGGGGACGTATTTTGAGCTGGTAATGATGATGATGACTACAAATTTACTTTAAAGGCTTGTAATTATGGTTAGCAAGTATTAGTAAAGATTAGTTCGACTGTTAACAACAAATAAAGCGACATGGGGGCTTTGCCTTTCATTTCAAAAGTGTCCTCCTATCCATTATTCAATCTAGAGTGTTTACTCAATTAAAATCTGCTTCTGTCTTAGTTGTTGTAGTCACGATAGTCAATTTACACTCATTATTTCCTACTCTTGGTTTAAAATTGTTGAAACAAATAAAACCTGTGAAAGTCAAACGCCATTGGGCCAAACTCATACATAAACAGAACGGCTGGGAACAAAATAAAGAGTAGTTACATTAAAATTGGTAGTTTAAAGACGATATCGGTGGATCGTAGCTTATTAGCATTTAATTCGTGGTGTCCAAAAGTGGGGGCTCCGAAGTGGGGGCTCCATGGGTCGCTGGCCTCACAAACGAGGCACTTCCTCGCCCGCGGCTGTCGCGGAGCGCTGGTGCGCGGGGAGGGCTCATGTGTAACTTTCAAACGCCATCATTTATAGTATGTTTGTACATAATCATTTGATGACCGAGTTTTTATATCCTTTCTTTTACTTAAGGTATTGTATATTATTGGTTAAGATTGTGTAAGAACGAGAGGATTATAAGACTTTAGTTTAAAGTAAAAAGACACGAATTCGCAAACTATCTTAAAGATGCGTTATGTTTGTACTTAATATTGATTCTTATGTTGTTATCTATCCATAGTATTTAAGGTAGTAAATCGCATGCTCACGGATGAGGTATGGCGACGAATTTATAAAAACCTGTTACCTGTCGAATGGTTTTATTGCCCTCTAATACGGACTAGAGATGGTCCATAAATATTAGACACGTCTTCCGTATTTGCATATCGATTTTGTTCATTCATCAGATGGCTTTTGATTACATGTAAACTTGTAGCCTTCTCTACAGATAACAGAGTAACGGACGAATATTGAAACATTTTATTACGACGCTTTAACTTCAAAATCCATAAACAGTTTTACCTTTGTTAGATTGTAAGCGGCGCTTACGAAGCAGTGTAGATTCGTGGCCGTAACTTATTAGGAACTAGATGTTGCCCGCGACTTCGTCCGCGTGATATTAGAAAACATACGAACGATGTGAATAACGTGTCCTTCGGGAACCGGACATTTTTCGGGGATGAACCTTATCCCATGTGTACTCCAGACTTTGTTTTATATCTGTGCCAAATTTCAATAAAATTAATGCATCCCACAGGAACCGTAAATATTTTCGGGATAAAAAGTAGCCTAGGTGTTCTTCCAGACTATCCTCTACATCTATACCAAATTTGACTGAAATACGTTAGCCCTTTAGGCTACAAACTCTAACAAACATCCATCCATCTAAACTTTCGCATTTATAATATTACTATGATAAAGACAATACTTCTCAGATATGTAAATTATTTATAGTAAAGTTTAGATAAAGAAATATCAAGTAATTGGTTCTCAAAAATATATATTAAAATAGAAACTATCTTAGAATCGATAAAGTAACCGAGCCATTAAAGTCTCAGAGATCTTAATCGTTTCTATACATTTAAATGTAAGGCATTCGTTAAACGGCGCGGCCTGGTGAATAAATTTCCGTCTTATTGTAATGCGGTAAGGTGTTAATTTGATTAACGTTTGCAGTTACTGCATTTGACAAGTTTATAAAGACGTGGTCACAATGGCGACTGGAACCGGTACTATCAACTTGAATGGCTTTACGCAAAACATGTCATTAGACTTTTTTAATTAATGTAACAATGTATGCAATGACCACTATAAGTAGACCTACACAAACAGATCGGCAAAGAATGTAAGCATTTTTTGTTTGTAAAATATCAGACGGTTAGACGCCGTTCTGAATATAACACACATCGTATCTTCTTGCTATAATTCCTAATGTAATTGATAAAATTAACCCTATAAAGATAATCTATTCCTTGACATTTCCTCACAAATATGTCTACAATAAAACTTTATTTATTTAAACTTTAACATTAATCGAAGACTAAGAGCCTGTCCCACCAAATTGTAAATTATCTGATAACAATCCAACGTGTAAAATATATCATTATTGAGGTAATTTTTAGCTATCTGAGCTTCTATCGACCAGTAGTGGGACAGGATCTAACTAAACATATGTCTACTAATCACTACAAGAATTGCGAATGTATTGATATTGAAGGTCGCTGTGAATCTTTAAACAGAAGCTTAGTTAAATGTTAACTGAGTTTAAATCTATAAACAATGAGGCATTTTTACTATTCGTTTAGTTGCATATCCTTTGCAAGTTTTGTTTCCAAACAGATCACTCTTAGCATGTGTTAATCAGATCTGAAGCGACTCAAAACTGTAGATCACTTCTTCAAACGATGAGTCACACTCTACGTGACCTCTCTGCAGTTACAAATTCAGCTAAGCTAATATGGTTTGCTAGCTTTACATGCGAAATGCAGCTGATCTGCTGATCATCAATTTGAGAGTTACCTATCACTACACATTTTTCTTTTTAATAGCTTTTCTAATTTCATTTATAAAAGACATTTTTAGCAGCTGTCCTTGAATATTAAAATTAGTTTTGATACGTACTCATTACCTTATTATAATTAAAAGTTCGAAGTCAGATTATAATCGTTATTAATTTGAAATTTATTTATTAATCCGACCTTTTAACATCCAAGGCGTGATGTCGTGTGCAGCATACAAACTAGTCTCGGGTTCGTGGCCGGGCCGAGGTGGTAACTAATATCTATTAAAAACCCGGCCGCCTTGCATAAGGCGTGTGATGGTATCGCATTTCCGGTCAAACTAGGTTCAAATGTCGAAAAAACTTACTCTGTTACTGGCAAAGATTATTTTGTAAAAAATACTTATAAAATTATAGTTATGATTTATCTAATTAAACAAGATAAGTAATTAATCAAATGTTGCTTTTAAACCAGTAAATAATTAAATATGTCAATAAAACCAGTGTTATTGATACAATAAATTATGACTTATAGGATTTTTATTATTAAACCATTCAATAAATATACAATTTAACAAAGCAATAATAATAGTTTAAGGTTTATAAACGTAAAGTAGGTATAAGATTAGCTACAGACTTGAACAGTGCACGTGGTGCAACGTCTACGCTTGCTTACTCTATGAGTGATGCGACAGTGCTGCCACCTGCTCATTGTCTCGCCTTCACTCACCTTTTAATCAACTTCCAATTAATTATGTTTTTACCACAATACCTTTGTATGGAATACGAAACTATTTGTCAGATTTCTTTTCTGTTTTGGTTATTTTTGTCAATGATATTTCATGGCAAAAACAATGGGCAAATAATACTTCTTTCATAAATTGTTTTTGTCATATTTTTCACAATTTAATTGCAATATTTCTCTGTCCACAGATACGCCAAGAAAAACCTTATTACATAGCGGACCCCGAGGTCGACTCATTAGTAAGTATCCGACGATTTTATATCCCCTAAGATAAATAAAGTGGGCCCGAGTTTAATGCGCCATAAAATAGTTAACATTTTATACTTCACATCTCTGGTTAATTTACGATTTGATTAGCTGAGGCCGGGATAGCAGGTAACGTTCCGGGAACGACAAAAATGGAGATTAAAAAATGTCCATATTGAAGCGTAGTGTCACTCATAAAAGAACGGAATCGCGCCGTCCCCCGCTGCGGCTCGCAGCTCGCGGGGAAAAAAGCAAAATAATAAAAATACGATGTCGGCCACCCACCGCTGCTATTCGACACGGGTACTTAACCGATTTTTAACAAATAAAATCTAAGGCATTACGAATCAGGCGCAGGCGCAGGCGGGGCACGGGCGAGGCGCGGGCGGTGTACCGCTCGCCTCTACCATAAAGCGACGTCCAACGTCATTGTTCTTGTCTATACACGGAACAGTCTTTTAGTATCATCTCAAAGATTTCTTGGAAGGTCAGCTGTCTTATTTAAAAGACATTTACACTTTGTCAAAGCAACCTTCGTGTTGTAAATTAAGATTTTGACAACTATTGTAATATTAACAAATAGCACAAATCGCTAACAGATGCTAATAATAGTCAAAACAAACAAGGCAATAGCGATAATTAACATAAATCAAAAGCGACGGTAACGTAGGAACGGTAGCGGCCCGTGACGCCATAAACCTCTTACCTGCCGCCTGGTTTGCTGCCTGCGGGCCTGATAAGCCCGGCCTCAGATAACAGACACACAACATCCGGCCGTAGCAAACTTGTACACATATAAGTAACTTGGTGTTTTTGTGACCGTGACATGTGTTTGCGACTACCATATGTGTCTACACCCTTACATCCTAGCAGCTCGTGTCGTGTTGATTTTTATATTCTTTTTTAATCATCGAATTCAGTCATCGATTCCATTAACCTGCCAGTACTTTAGTGACCGAATAATCGATACAATCGAATACATAACTTTTAATTTGTCGATCTGTACAGCAATGGTAATCCATTCTTAATTCGCTTCCCTATAATTAGTCTTATATAGAGCGGGCGGATCTTTAGAAATATTGCTTATTATGCGCTCCTTAAGCCACTAATATAATTTCAATGGATCCTTTGAAAGGACAACTCTGGAGCGATTCCTTTGCATTATAATATTGTGGTAAAAATACTCTTGTTGTATAATTACATAGTTTTGTGTGCAAATGTTAGATTGTTTCGATCTTATGTCAGAGAGTGGTTAGCTGTTATTTTTCTGCCTCGAGTGTTTAAGGTTATTGTGATAAGGCTTTGTAGCTAAGTATCGTTATAGTAAGGTCGTTACGTCACCCAACTTCAAGTGGCCGTTGACAGTTACGCTTGTTTGTCGATTTGTTCGGTCACAATTAACTCCTAAAGCAATAATGTGCCCCTCAATTAGTTTAACTTCGATACTGTTATTTACTATTTGAAGTATTATGTGAATTCAATGTTTTTAGATCTTATATAGTCTACTTGTTAATAATAAGACTTGTTAATTTTACTTTTAATAGTTAAATCGCGGCTAAAAAGGAATGTGATATAAGCGCACACACAATATTTTAAAGGCAGAGTTTTTGTGGCGTTGCCTCGTACAAGTTATCAAATATCAACAAAGGAGACTTTAAGTTTTTTAATGCATTAAACTAATATTGTAAGTTCGGCGCGGGCGCAGGATTTGTTACGGCGGTTAGGGTGACTATGTTATTTGGAATTCGAGGATAAATCCGGATTTTTATTTTTCATTTTTGTTAATTGAACAATAATCTTTTATTTTCATATTTTATGCTGAAAAATAGAACTAGTAAAATCATTTGCTTAATTCTGACCTATACAAGTCATTTGAGCGTAAAATTTTGTTAATTGAAATATTAGCAGATTTTCCCTAAAAATAGAGTCTTGTATTCACCCTATTCTGGTATCGCGTTGGCTAGCAGGCTATTTGAACTTGTCACATCTGTGTTTGTACTGTCAGCTGAGCCCGCACAGACATACAGACACGCGGGCAGACCGCTGCCAAGCTCCCGGCTCTAAATCAAATAAGCTCCCAGTTACTTTTAACATTTGAATCAAGTTATCTGTATTAATATTAATATATACGAGTTTTTTAATGATTAAGTTATAAATATGTTTTTAAGTTATTGTACTGCATTCAAAAATCCTAACCCTATCTAAATACCGAAGTTTCGACATTAAAGTAATTTATTAAGTGTTAAATAATGTAATTTTACTTCTACAAATAATAGATTAATATAAGTGGTTTATTTAAAACTAACAAGTTCATTAAAACCTTATAAAGCTTGTCAAACCATCTTGTACAAATGGGATAGATTGTTCAAAAAAGACAGGTCAAGGGCTCTTCTGTGCATGTCATCCGTGTCGCAGACTATACAAACGGTAGCTAGTGTAAGCTGTACGGGTCTTAAACTGTGCAAACAACGGCCGCGTGGCCGCCAGCGGAGCCCCGCGCTGCGCCCCGCAGACAAACAGACAGCGAAGGCAGCGCCCGCGCCCTTTGCAAATACACGGGGGTGGCTGACACATTCCTTTAATTGACATTGCACCTTTTTCATTTATGTTTCCCTGGTACTTTATTATATATCGTAACAAATTTTGGTACAATAAAGTTTTGTGTGGTTACCCTATTAGTTATTTTTACAAACTTTCTACATGTTTTGTATTTAAAATGCATCTGCTTTTTAAATAAGGAATTTAAAATCGCAAAGAGGTCGCTGAAGGCGCAATCAGAAACAAATCAAGGCGCTATTAAAACGGCATTAAGTGCAACATTTAGATGCGTATCGATTAAAAAACATACTGAACATTCTTGAAAGTAAATCGAATGCAAAACTGAAATAGAGTGCATTGGGCTCTTGAATAAACTGTTAGGAGAAATTAATACAATGGGGTTAATAAATCCACGACAATTATACTAATATTATAAATGCGAATGTTTAGATGGATGGATGTTCGGATGGACTTTGGAGCCTAAACGACTGAAGGGATCTCGATGAAATGTGTCATGTAGAGGATAGTCTGGAAGAACATATAAGCTACTTGCTTTTGTGTTTTTCATCCGCGCGGACCAAATCGCGGGCGAATGCTAGTATATCATATAGTTTACAAATATTCAAGTGTCTAGGTAGAGTTATGTCCTAGTAACTAATTGTAAGTGGAGCGTTGTTCAGTTCAATACAAGCGATACAGGGTACAATGGCTGCACATCCCTACAGCTCGTGAGACAGGCTTTGTACCGCATTGTAGCGAGGCGTGCCCCTTGCAGCCAGGAGGCAATTGTGTACCAAGCTATTGCTCTTTTGGTTCAACCCGATTAGATTTGCTATTGATGACCTAAATTACCTCCTACTGTTTCAGTTTAATTATTTAAACTGGAATGTATATAATATTTTTTTATTTAAAAATCGAGAGCAATACAGTGTTATTTGATCATAACAATATTGTCAATATTAATTGTTATGTTACTTGACTAACAGTTTTGTTTGTTTTCAGATGGTGCAAGCGATACAAGTCCTACGGTTTCATCTATTAGAATTAGAAAAGGTTAGTACTTTCATCATTTATAAAGTTGGGAATACATTGAGAGTCGGCGCGAAGCGTGGAACCGGTCTCCAATATATCTGCTGTTATAATATCGTTGTGATCACCCGAGCGGGCGGATTCGGGCCGGGTTGTCGGGAGAGCGGAGCTCGCGCACGCCGACACGCAGCGGCCGTGGAAACCGAGCCGGTGGTCAGCTGTGCTTGGCGAAACAATACGGCGCCGAGCACAGCTGGGGGGAGCCGTCTTGGACCGGTCCTGTTGCTTGCGTGCGCCGAATTACACAAGCCATCGATAGCTAACGGTATCGCCGCGGGATCCCGGACTGTCTGCCTCTCTCCGCTCCCGTCCCCGCGACCCGCAAATATTTGCGTCATGTTAATTAGAAAGAATAAAATTCAAATCTCCGTCCACATACGCATGGCCGCCGATGAATTCCACTTGTCAATATTATGGTCACGTTTCGACGAAACTAGTTCCACTAACGTCTGTATCGAAACGAACGATCTCGAGAAACGAGATCCGCGGCTCTCGGCTCGCGGGCGGCGGGCGGCGGGCGGCGGCTGCGCAACGGATTCCATAAAATATCCGGCGCCATTGATCTACTGCGCGCGAGGGGCCGGCGGATTCGTTAAAAACCGTACGCGAGTCCACACAAAAAGTCTCCGTAACGAGATAACCGGTAACGTGACACCGCACTACGAATCGCCGCCGCTAAGGATAAAGGCCGGTTCAAAAAGAAAAACAATATCCCGCGTTCCGAATTTAAAAATACCGGGGCGCGGGAAGCAAATTCCATTTTCAAATATTTTCGATTACCAAAATCAATTACCCAGACATTTTATCGATTTTTAATTTCTCATAACATACTATAAAGATGTTATAAAACTGTCTAGGATCAATTTTATGAACGAATGAATTTGTACACGTATCGTAGTTTGCTAGATGTGTCAATATCCGCACGTACCTGTCTATGTGATCGAAAAAGACATCTTTTTTTCTGTTGCTCATATCCTATACATGTCGGCTTCTATCTCGTCTACGCTTTTTGTCGAACCAAATCGATGAAAAAAGATTCCGTTAGTTGGATCCATTTCCGCTTGACTGCGCGACGTCCACAGGTGATGTTTTTAAAAGCTTTAAATAATTAAAATCGAAGAAAAAAATCCACCGCCCGCTCACAATGAGACCTTGTTAAGGTTTTGTTATCTTTTGTTGTCGTATTTGTGATGATTGCGATGCGATTTCCAATCGGCACAATGGCGCCATCTGTGCATTGTTTATTACAATGAAATGACATGCATAGCGACCCTGATGAGTTTCTGAAGATCTTTGTATTAAAATATCCAATAACATTTTTGATTTATGCTTTTAATATTTTGAATGTAGCCGAGGGCACCGCGGGTCGGCCGCTGGCCGCGGCGGGATGTGCGATTGGTCCTCACTTGTACGTCGTTTTTTGTGAGCATCGAAGCCTTGAACGTTCCCTAATTACCTGCCGCTGTGGAGGAGGGACCTCAAATCAAATGTGGAATTCGTTAGACGACTTATTGCTCGTTTTCCTGACACTGTTAATCAGCGGATGGTTCGTCGCGTCAACATTTTGTATATAATTTTATTATTAATCCACTAAAAGAAAACGTTCGATATTTAATATAGTTGATAATAAAATAGTATTTAGGGTGTAACTGCGGTGCGGTGTGCCGCATATTAATGGCCACTGTAAAGTCGCAGCCAAAATAAAAACCTGTCCGCTGGTTTTTTTTGTTTCATATTTTGTTTCTAACTCGTAAACGTTATCTGTAACAACGTGGCTAAGTGATTTACGAGCCGGGTCAGATTTGTTAGTTTACGGGCCTCGAACCTGGTCCCCGGTTTACGACCGCGCGACCGCTTTTACAACTCCACTACGCACCACGAGGGCTCCCTCTGCCGTTTTAATTTCGTAACTATTCACACGTTTAATTGGTTGATATTAATTAATTAGCGGAATGTGGCAACACAGCGCCGACATATAAAGCTATCGGTGCGAATCAAATCGGCCGCTGTGCGAGGGAACCGGTCTTTAATTATTTGTATTGAAAATATTGCTTCTTGACTCGCGATCATAAAAAAAATTAGAGAAATCTACACGAGATATGTAATAAAACTGTTACTCAAAATAAGTAGCTGACAGTCCGCTATAAAGACGTAAAACATTGGCAATAAGGGTAGTATTCCACTAGTGTTAACTAAATGTGAACAAACGCCACGTGGAGAGTAAAATCGCCAACACGTAATTAACAATAATTATTGGCTAATAAAGTGTTTGTGTATATGACATTTCATTTACATCTCTCCGATTGTATCTTCCTAATGCACACTCCGTAATGGAGGCCGATGTAACGTCCACAGCCACAGATAACAAATTCTTTATATCGCTCAAAACACAGATAATAAAATTAAATTTTAAAACATTTCGAATTTCGAAGCGAAAAAGCGTTCTTAATTTGAAATATTTTTTGTAGCCGAGACGCGAACCTATCAATCCGAGGAACAAGATATCAAAGATGTTTTGAGCGGGTTTATTTATGCGCTACTTACGGCTATTACTAGGCGGCCGAATAAAAATTAATTTAGCAACACTCACGGCGCCCACTCGGTCGCGGCGCAGCAAAAAACCCTTTTAGTTGCGACGCGAGCGGCCGCGGCACAGATTGTGAGATCTTATCATCACTGGCCACTGCCCACGCGACTGCCACCGCTAGACCTCTATTAAAAACTTTAAAAATAATCCGCTTTCGTAGTACGGGCGCTCGAGAATTGCCCGATCAATTCCCATTGCGTATCTGCTCGTTTCGTTTACGCTCAGAATTGTGTGAACGAGTTTTTGGTTTATTTCAGTATTTTCTATTTGTATTATCTAAATCTACAGATGTAGCAAATTTATGTATGAATAAGAATTCCTGCTAATTTTTTTTCTCTCATTCATAATTCCAACCATCTGATAAGAAACATAAATAATTAAAAATCCAATTTGAATTTAGAATATCGCCAATATGAATCTCTTATTCCAATCAAATGTGAATAAACCGGATATAAAGATATTTAATTTCAAATTAAAAAAACTCCATTTGAAAACACGCCATAATTCAATCTCGTTTTCAAATGTAACATTTCTGGAAAAAGTTCCATCTTCCAAAAGATTATCGAACTCGACCCCGGAATGCCGTAATATCATTAAAAACTCCGATTTAATAACGTCATATCGGACATGAAATACAAACAATTAAAACTCTTAACAATAAAGACTTAAGGGTTAATTTTGATGTTCGCAAGCCAGATTAAAATTTGAATTCCCGAGACTTACGATGTCAAATCTTATCCGGTGTCACTAAATCGTAAATAGTTGCTCGGGATGAGCGGCCACTCGCCAGCTCGCCACTAGCGCTTACACCGTCATTCTGTGAGCTTATGAAAGCGCTCTCAATCATGATTTGACATTGACAGCGAGTTGGGGCGCGGGGCGCGGAGTACGGGGTGCGGGGAGCGGGGCCGGCTCATCCTCTCTAGTGTCCATAAAATTCCCGCGGCAATAAATATGAATTTCAACGGTCGGCTGTAAAAGTTCAAATTACGATAAACAAACTACGGTATTTGGTCGCGGGATAGTTTTTTAACGGGCCGATGCGTGTAATTTTGAAAAGCTGTCGATTAGGGAATTAGTGTATCGAAGACGTAATCGGCTGTCGGGTAGAGGGCGCCGTTTCCGCTTCCGGCGCGAGTTCTATTTTCAAATCCGCCGAGAGGACGCGATCGTTTTTCGAAAAGCTTCGTTTTTTCCGCTGCCACCTGCCTCCGTTTTATTACGCTGCACCGCGCGCGAGCGCTGTCTAAAAATTTCTTTAGTCTTTTTATTGCTTTATGTTAATTTAAAAGCTAATTATGCCTATGAAAATTTATAAGGTACGGAATTAATACACCGTCGGGGGTCGTATTTATGACAGGCCGGAGGTAAAAAATGGTTGGAACGTATTTTTTAAATTTGCGTTTTTGAATTTTCGAACGGGCGACAGTTGTGCGCCGCGCGACTCTGAATGTATTCCCTTTTGTCTTTGTTGCATGTTTTTTGTTATCATAAATTAGTTTCATTGTTTTGTTTGTTGTCTATTGCATCCTCCAAGGACATCGCTCTTTACACAATAAAAGTTTTATATTTAAAAATATTGTCTGGATAACTATTACTTTTTTCCTTTACGAACTTTAATTTCTTGCAATAAAAGAAACATTGAGTAATAAAAATAATGCATTAATATTTATTAGTTTACATAAGTCAGTCAGTGAACTTGACAACTGTGTCAATTGCAATGATATAGGAAACCGATAAATTAATAAAACATTAATTAACATCGACGAGGGAAACGATAACTGCTGTTTGTTTTGGAGCTCGCAAGGTGTCATGTTTGTCCCGCAGGTGTCGCTGCCGGCTCGTAAACTTTATATCTGCGGACAGTGTAACCGTGCATAACAAAGACCTTATTTACATTATAGATTGTAGGAGCTGTTAACTTTTGTTAGCTCCTCATTTTTTCCCTTGCAGCTCCACTTTTTATGTATTTCTGTACAGGCAGTATATCTGATTTTACGTCATACTGTAATGAAGATACAGAGTGATGTTTGTAGCATTTAGCTATAGAAGGTGTTCCAGTACCGGAGAATGACGCGTGTGCGTTGTTTGTGTGCAGGTTCACGAGCTGTGCGACAACTTCTGCCACCGCTACATCAGCTGCCTGAAGGGCAAGATGCCAATCGACCTGGTGATCGACGAGCGGGAGTCCGCGCGGCCGCCGGACGCCAACGGCGAACGTTCCGCCGCCGACAGCGGACACGACGGAGCCTCCACACCCGACGTCGTGAGTACCCCCTACTCTAAGCCCCACCTGATTCAGAGGCGCGATCCCCAGCTAGCACCCAGCTCCACCACGAGCTACCTCGTGCACCCCTGCTCTTAGTTTGGCCATTGCAAAAACGAAGTACGTAAAGGGGGTGCTCGCAAACTAGTTCTTATATTCCGCCTCCCTTGCTTTGTAACGCGGCGTCCGCCCTCCGGCGGCCGTCGCGACGTCTCCTCCGAGGGCCCGAGGGCCCAAGGAAGCGGCGTCAGCTTAAGTTCCTTAGAACAAATCTTCGTTTTTGCAATTGGCCAACCTCTTAACACTGTACGAATCTTTCGATTTGACATTGAATATCTATTTGAGTTTCAAAATTACCATATCAGACACGATACAGTGAAGGGGTGTCTCAGGGTGCGACCAGACTTACGTCGTAGTCGAGCCGGTCTCGGGCCGTTGCTCTGTTATTGGAACACAAAACATTTGCGCCGATGTTCTAAATTTGTTTGCGGAATTATGTATACGATTAAAAAATACGTAAAACGTTGAATGTAATATGTGTATACTAATTGTAATTATAAGTACCACTAACTCCTCTCAGCGACACCACACTGAGCTTAGTTTAAAACTTAATTAGGTATATTGGGATAACTATTTGAAAACGATGTATACGTAAAAGATACAATTTTAACTTGCCTAAGTGAGATAAGGATTTTACTTAAGAGTTTTAAATTATTGTCATTGATTTAAAGGTGGTAGATGCTAGAGCGTTATTGTTTCGGCTACTTTAATGTAATACGTAAATAGTTCATATTAGCCGACTCATTTACCGACCGACGGTCAGATGGCAGGTAACTAATTAGTTAGTTGAAACAGATATACGTACGCAGTATACGCTAGGTGTAATTAGGTGCCGCGGACATCCGCAGGACATTATATGTATGTGCGTTATTATTAGAGAACTAGATGCTTCTACAGAATTAATACATAGTGTCGAGCTCTTTCCTTCTCTGCGATTAATGAATTTTTTGAATAGTTTAGGCTGGGTTGTTGTATTTTTGTATCGCACGATATCGATCAGGTTCGAGTTATATTTTAAATGGGTATCAGTCATTTCTGGGTGACCCTAACTCGCTGGCACTACGACCTGCAGCGAGAACAGTGGTGTCCGGCGCGAGGGACCAACGCGTCACTCGCTCCGCGTTTTGCACTCTGTTTAGTATATTAGGTATATTTTTGGGCGTTGAGACTGAATTGTTTTGTTTGTGTTATATATTATTTCTCGCATTGTTAACATGGAAGCCATAATTATTAACCTTATGTTTGCCACATGGGTTGTCCCGCGCTCGGGACGCCTCGCGCTAATTATTAGTTACATTTTGTCTGTATATGAGTTTTTAACAGTAAATTTTTGTCTAGTTGGTTCTTATCTAAGTTAGGATAGTGGCGATATGTTCTAATGATGTTCGTAAACTTTTTTTTTTCATAAATCTAACTCATAAATGTATTATAAATATGGCATGGTGTACGTCCATCTTGTATATCGATGTGATTTTGATTTATTAATTTTATATTTTTATTTTACTCTAAACGGATTAAACAATAAAATGTTCTGTTTGAAATAATACTGCAGTTTGTTTTACTAGTAGCACTAGAACACTCACATGTACATACAGTCCTCTTAGTTGGTAATGAAAGTCTAAACAACAGAGAACATAAATCCGGACCAAGGAGGCAGGTGACTGTCCATCAAATTGAAATGAAAATTACTGAAGATCATCCGACAAGTTAAGTGAAAATCTGAAAATGTCTGAACTTGAATAGAGTATATTCTTTTACGAGGGCGTCGTATTCTATAAAGCTTGCGGGTCCCAGCGGCCGCGAGGAGCGAAAATTGTTTCTTTACGACGCCCCGCGCGCTAATCTTTTGTACCTCAAGGAAGTCTCGTAAAAACCACGGGAAAATCTTTTCGAGAGCTTTTACGTTACGATATGAAATTGTCAACGTCATTTATCTTTTATGCTGTAACAGTGCCGGTTGATTGGCCTCGTGTTGGCGCCACCGTCGCCGTGTCGCCAACACCGTGACGGATACAGACTTAATAGTATTTTACAGACATCTTTATCGTTCAATGCTATCATTATTGCCTATTAAGATGTCTGCTTTATGAAAAAGTTTAAATTAGATTAAAAATATCAAGCCTGTACCATCAGCAAATTGATAAAAAAAGTAATAAAACTATTCTCATCAAATTAATCTCAAATCTTTTAACATTATAAATCTAAATTAGCCTCTTTGTTTATCTGTAGATGTAGTTGTAAGAGTATAGACAAGTTACATTTTTTATCTGTGGAGTACAATAACAGTAAACGGAGTGTCAGCTATCGACGCACAATGAATAATGTAGGAGCGTTGTTTCCCCCCGCGCCCGCGGAGCTCAGCAATAAGAGAAATAATAAAATAAGGGGACAAAGTCGGGATTGGCGTCGGGTTAGGCAATTCGTCACGGGCTGAGCTGCCCTTACCCTGCCTACCCTGCTTGCATGGCCAGTCTCCGGCAGGATTACCACACATTTTTTTCATCATTCGCCCTCCGTGCGTCCGCTATGAATCTATTGAATTCGTTCCACAGTACGCCTGACCCGCTACAGTTACACGCTACAAGTAAACGTATTTTTTATTTTGATACTCCAGTTTAACTATAGTAAACACTATCGAGACAATTATTCGAGGTATTAGTAAAATGTAGAAATGATCAGACTATGTATTTCTTGTTTAAGAACGTTCAAAAGTTCCAAAATTAGTAAAAAAAAGCATATCCTCGAGAAGGCTAATTGTTATGTACCGCACGCGGTCGCCTCGTCCGTCACTCTCAGCCCCCGACTGCTTTATTACATTGTAAATTCTTGTTAACCTCCTCCATTTTACATAGGACCGTAGGTGAAGTCTAGATCGTTCCATAAATCCTTCTAATTAATTCGCCTGCAAATAGCCGCGCAGATTGTAAGTCGTTGCTTTATTTGTGTGCGCCCGCTGCGTGTCACCGCCGCTTGACATGTCACATTTTGTTATTCACTAAAGGTTCACTGGCATGGTACTATTTAATTCAAATACATTTTCACAAGATTGTGTAACCGAAGTGATTCACAGATCAAAAGAGAAGCTCACAGTTCTGTCAGATTCCTTACAACTATTAATATCTTGCCTCGTCAGCGCTATAACCTGGCCACTCTCATAAACGCCGACCTGGACGCCGCGCCGGGACCTAAACATGTCAATTTTGGCGCCAAAACGGCAAAAAGACGCCGCGTGGCGGTCGTAAACCGTCGCTTTCAAACTGGCCGATGTCCATTGGGCGCAGCGTGGCCAATCTGCGGCCGCGGACAAATTTTACGAGCTCGCATTGGCCGCCGCGAGGTTACTTATTTACGACACTCCTAAGCTTTAGTCGCAAAATTTCTATTAATAAATTAGTCGTAAATGCCGTGTAATTTATTATCATGGCGTTCTTGGTAATTATTTCCTTTATAAGAACAACATCGGTGCGGCTTGCTCGCGTCGCGTCGACTCGCCTCGCGTGCGCTTCACTTTTATTATTTGGCTTTTCAAACCGCGCAATTTCCCTAAGATTGCAATTTTTACTTTGTTATTAATTACAAGAGTAATAGCTAAATTAAACGTTACTCAGAGTAACAATTTAAGACTTAATTATCACTTCATTCTAAGGATAATGTAACAGCTACGAAGCCAAGTCTCGCGCCCCAATTGCCGTCATCCGGCTAAGCATTTGATGGCTGTCATTTTGAGTTTCTTTTCATTTTTTTACACCGTATACTTTACAAAGGGCACGAATTAATATAAGGAGTGTAATAATAGGTTCCAGCTCGCTGGGAGGTTGGACCGCGGGGCGCCTATGTCTTCATTCGCTTCGGGATTGATTGTTTCGGCATTAGTCGTCGGTGCTGTCACGGAGGAGGTCAGATGAGGATAATGATGGAGGAAGTATCATTGCATCGTTGGATATCAATTTATAAATGCTGGTTGAATTTTATGATCAGTTCCGATGGTTTTGTACAAACTGTCATTACATTTGAGACAATTGAATACTAGATATTTACTAGGATTATAAAACAGAATATGTGTAAAAATATTGATTCAGAGGATAAATAGTTGTATTAAAGTTAAAGGTTATAAAATCTTGACTCACAAAAAGTAACAGATTATATATAACAGAAGCTTTCATTGAAATAATTTCTGATACTATCGAGAAATAATGTCGATTATCGAGCAAAGGTCGAAACATCAATACCGTACTTGGGGATTTTCCACAAGACAAAATTCTGTAGGTACTGACTTTCAATCCGTATGTTATGAATCATGTTACGATATTTCTTATGAATATATGTAAATGTAATCCTCTGGTGTTGCGGATGTCCATGGGCGTCATTGACCACCTTTGTGTTCCCGCCGCCCATTTGCCCCCTTCTCATATAAAAAAATGGTATACCAAAACATAAGACAAAATATAAATTCTAGCATACAGTAGAGGTGACTAAATACAAAATTTTTGACTTACCAGCATTTTAAAATAAATCAATTTCACATTTCCTCATCGAAGATGTTAATGTGGTATTCACTAAACAGTTTAAGTGAATCCTTTTTTATTTCTATTTCAAGTAAAATCAAATCAAATACCATAAAATATCTAGTCCGTCCACGTAACGAGGGATGTGCCGTGTACCGTAACACGTCGTGGGGCGCCTTCTATCCGGAAATTGAAAGGAAAAGAACCCGCAGAAAAACTGCAATATTTCCTTGTGGCCGGGCTCATTGTATTCCTGTGACGTCTACGGGGTGCAGGGGGCTGGTGGCGCCCCGCAGCGCCATTTGCCGGGAACCAGGAAGATTTCCGCCCTCGCCTGCGTGTAAGAGTGTTTGTACAAGTACCTCTTAATACATGTCCCACTGTAATTGATTCCGTTTATACAAGACGCTTGTTTAGTATTTTTTTGGTGTAGTA